TATACTAATGGCAAGAAGTATCAGCGGCTGATAAAGACAGCCAGAGAGTTCGACTATGGCAAGTTTGAGCCCCATATAGTGCCCAGCACAAAGAATCTGTACGTATTCTTCCTCTTGTGTGTTACGGTTCACGCTTTGTTCAAATTCAGACATAAAGTGATCGACCTTTACAAAGTTCTTGAGTCTTTATGGGTTTGGGGAGACTGTGAAAGTCTACACAAAGTATTTATCGACTTTGAGCACAGTGCTTATAAGTGAAAAGCCGTTAAGTAATAGCATATTTTAACTCTGTCGCTGGCTTTTTCTTTGTCTGTCAGACACCAGCTGTTTTGCAAGCTCACTCTAAGACACATCAACAAGTTTCCAGAGCACGTGCTGCGTCACGTCCAAGGGAAGCGCTATCAGAAGGCTCTAAAAATGTGTAAGTGGCTTTTCTGAAGATAAAACCAGCCAACTTTTTTCCCTGAGCTGTTGAGATTCCAGTAGCTCTACATGAAGGAAGGGGATACATTTTCTTTAGATTGACCGTAATGTACTGCTGTTGCTGTGTGTGCTCCTCAGCTAGGAAGGGAGATCCCAGATGTAGGGAGCAATAGGCCTCTAGCAAATATCTTGGAACATCCTTACTTGAGAGGAGCGGTTCTAAAACTTCCCCAGAGAGGGTGGTTCACGCATCCGGCACAGTCTCTGCGTTAACATCTTTCCCATCTTTCATGGTCCATAGTATCGCTGTAGATTACATGAATGTATATTAGAGTTGGAGCTCGACATACTTTTGAGTTGCGTTTAATATAAGTTAGAGCTGGACATGAAAGGGAATAAGGTGACTGCGTAGCCTTGCTAAATGCTGCCCAACCCCTCACACTATTAGATGAGGAGTGCCAGAAGGAAGGAGTGGAGTACGTCCCTGCCTGCTTGCGACAGAAGCACCAGCAGACGCGGCACCCTGATGACCAAATGAACGGGAGCAGACAGCCTTACAGAAAAGAGGAATTCTGGGAGCCAAAGTCCAGCGATGAGGATGGAGAGGAGACAGATGACAGCATGAGTGACCTGTATCCATGTGAGTAAGAACGTTGGTGTCGTCTATGTCCTGAAGGGAGTTTGTCGGCTTGTTTTCTCCTGGCTTCTTTTTACTGCTCCCTGCTGCTGGCGTGCTGGAGGCACATGACTTCCATCCAGCTGGGGGCTCTTGGGTTTCAGAAAAGCTTGCCACTGCCAATAAAGAAATAATAGTTATTACCAAGTAATAACTAGAGCTGGAGCACATAAGGTGTGAGGGGAGGGATACAAGATCCACTGGGATTTGCTGCTATCGGTATCTCTACAGCAAGTGCTCCCGTCTGATGGGAGTTGGTGAGGCCGTTCCGCTGACTTACACGTGGAGATGTTGCCTTGCTGCAGGAGAGCGGACACAGAACCGCCTGTGCTGAACAGTTCCCACAACGGGGCTAGTGAGAGCACCAGGCATGTTTCTAATAAAACACCAGTGTGTTTATATCCTGAGGATTTCAGTAGCGACAAGTATATGCTCGGAGACTAGAAGCAGCTTGGCAAATCACCTTTAAGGTGCCCTCCCCTTAAGGGGAGGCAGAGCCTTTGTGCACAGGGAACCAATTCTGAGCTAAATCTTTGTATTTCAGCCGCACTCTTCCCAGAAAAAAGCCCAGCAGCTCCACAAACCACAAAGGGCAGCGATGACTTTGCAACAGACAGCGAGGACGAGGGTGCCAAGCAGACTGGTGACGTGAACGGAGAGGACAGTGGAAGAATGGATGTCAGCGGAGCAGTTGGCAACAAAAGGGGAAAGGTGGGAGTCACGCTGCCACGCGCAGCAGCGGGGGAGCCCAGAACCGAGATCCCATCCTGTAGGTGTTTGTCTGATCTATTCCTGTCTGCGAACCAGCAGAAGGTGCAAAGCTGGTTCAGGAGAATAGGCTTTTCCTCATGTGCCAGCCACTGAGTCGCATCCCGAGGTGTGAATTGCTGCCAGTAAATGTTTACCCTGTCTGCTCTAACTAGGGATGTTCCTGCCTGTATAAATAGCTCATCTTTGATGGGATCCTTGCTGCATGCTCTCTTTAACAGGGAGACTGAAGACACTAAGCGTGTCTTGGTTCCGTAATCTTCCTCCCTGTAAACACACAAACACTAGTTAAACCCTTTCGAAGTCACAGGGTCCTTCTAGATCCTTTTTCTGCCTCTCTTGAGGAGCTGGCCAGGTCCTGCCTTACAGGGCATACCCTGATCCTTCTCAGGTTGGGAAGCAGGCAGACATTATGTATGTAAAGATGGGAGAAACCTTTAACTCTCCAAGGCAGCCCCTGAGGAAGGGGCTGGATCCTTTACCACTGTATCAAACTGGAAAGTTAAGGCTGGATGAAGTTTGGGCTCATTTCTATGGGGAGACCGTCACCGTATCTAATGAAACCATATGCCTGTCACAGAAAAGAATGCTAACTTGCAGGACAGGGCCAGGAGAAATCCTGGCTGACTCTGTGACCAGGGCTGCGCTTCCTCAGTCTCTGTTGGTAAAGGAGACCACAGTTTCTCTTTAAGCTATCTTGGGCAGGGTGGATTTGGTAATAAGCTGATTAACTTTTTTTCCTCTACAGAAACAGTCAGGCCCTTTAAAGAAGAAATTCAAGAGTCATCATCGAAAACCCAAGAACTTCAAGAAAGCAATCAATGGCAAATAAATTTTACAATAAATACATGGCCTGAAGCCTGTTGTATGACAATTCTGGAGGGTGCACAAGACTGTCTGAAGTGTTTGTCCATTCCAGGTAACTATTAGAGCTGGGGAGGGGAATAGTGGGGTGGAATTAAGTTGTATTCTAACAGCTTCAAGCCACCCCCCACCACCAAGGGAAGGATGACTGCTGCAGTCAAGTACAGGCGGCCCAGTGCTCGGAGCTCTTTATAGAAAGATGATTTTCAGTAGGTGGGAGAGAAAGCACACAAGAACCACTACCCAACATTTCCAGGCAGCCTATCTGTGGAGTGTCACCAGTCACACACGCCAAGTGGATACAAAGATGCCATTGTTTTATTCTGATTGTTTCCAAAAATCAAAACATTTTCAAACACAACTAAGGTACAAAATACAGCATAAAATGAGAATTTATACTTATTTCTTTTTCCACATAGAAAGCAAAAATATATTCAGAATGAATTCCAGAACACTTTGCAGAGCCAATTGATAGCTGACATCCTGCTTGTGAGAGCTTCTCAGCCACGGGGAGAGGTCACTATTTTTGGGAGATGCATGAATACAGCAGTGTATGTAGGAAACCAGGATCTTCTGCATCGGGACTCACAGTTAGTAAGTCTGCATATTGCGCTGCCTAAAAATATCTTACAGTGCCCTCCACCTAACTCTGCCCCTTTAGTACCAAAATGTTTCTGCTGCAAGGGACAGTATCAGTTCCTTTTGTGGGGTCTTTTGTTGGAAAGGGGACTTGATTTTCACAGAGGAAACTGGTCAGTATTTCATACTAGTCTATCATCCAGCTCCTTAGTTAGACAGGACACCAAAGTTGAGAAAGCCAACTTAAGGGCTACTTACAGGAGTTGTTTCTATCATTCCATTTATAAATACTATGAACATCAACAGCAGTTAAGATATCTGAGAACGACTGCCTTGATGTAGTCTAAAACTCTTCTAGGACCTGCAGTGAAATTGAGCAGAAGCATTCCGTGCTGTATATCCGTAACTGAAAGGACCAGTTTGTTTTGCTATGAAGAGACAGGTACAGCAAACACTTGAGGTGAAAACTTCTCTTCCAAAACCTACTTAAAAAGAAAGCCTGTGACCTGAACTTAAATGCTGGCTTCCCCTCCCATCTACCCCCCCCCACATAGCAACTCATTCCCATCAGCAGCAGCACATCCTGCTGTTACATAGGCTATTTTCCCTATAAGATGATGAAATTGCTGGTTTAACATTCATCAGTGCTCTTCTATTTGTAATCCGTTCTTTCAGCCTAGTTTCCTCTCCTAAAATGCAACCATTAAGCTGAACTGGCCAGGCTAGTGTCCTTACCAGGAGACCCTGGTAAATAGCTCCTGCTGGAGGCGTTCAGCTGAATTACTCCTTGAACAAACAGTTGAGCAGCTTTCTCCAGGGAGACAACAGTGCAAGGAATCAGTGTAACCTTAGCAAGTTGGTGGGGCTCACGCTTTCTAGAATTCTTTCATGATCTACTGAAACAGGTTCACCTAGTTGACTAGCAGAGGACAAAATGCCTCCTCTGAGCAGCACTAAGCATGTTCATGGCACAGAGGCTGTGGCACTGAGAGGTGAAAAGGGGGTCTTCCTCTCTCCTCGCCATTATGCTGAGGAATTCCTCTCTGAACACGCAAGTTACATCCCTGGCTGCTTATTCACCGCACAGGCTTAGCACTTGCATTCTTCAGCTATAACCGTTTGCATACAGAGTTGAGAACTGGGGCTATGGCAACACGCAGCTGACTTCCGTGTCTCCTCCCTACGCATCTCAGCTCCGAGATGGCAGAGAGAAGGGGCTGCACTCGAGAGTTCAGCACCCCAGCTCTTCTGCTGTTCAGCCACCTGGGACTTTCACAGCTGAAAGACTGACAGTGAATCTAAGCAGCAAAGGTTACAGATTAGAAGATTGCTCTCATCTTGCATGTACTGAGTAGAGGGAAAAGGGGAGTTTCTGTAATTCTGAAGACACTTTCACCAATAACCTGCAATTCAGATATGAATTTGGGGCATATATGGATGGAAGCTGGTTAATAGCAGATAGGAGCTTTTATCATGGAACCTGCAGCACAACTTGACTCCCTTCTTGGGAATTTGCGGGGGGCACGGTGCAACTTTGGGGAAAGAATGCTGAATAGAGTTCTTTTGGCACAGAATTCTAACAGAATCTAGCATTCTGACTCTTCAGGAGTATCTCCCCTCGCTTCCTTCTTGAAATCTGATCAGCCATACAGGATTCCTGATTAGCAGTACCAGATTCTCCCTTATTTCCCTGAAGAGTAGAACTAGGATATGGTAGAAAAAACCCTCTCCCTTTTCTTACCTAGAGGGGGGCACAACTACTTTCAGGGTTTTATTTTTGCCTTCTGTTTGGGGGCAAGAAAGGCCTCCCCTCTTGTTAAACAAAATGGAATTACAGGCCTCTCTGAGCAGCAAAATACGGTGATTTTTTTTTTTTTTTTTTTGTGGTGCTGCTTTCCCTCTTGATAAGCAATGCTATAACCAGCAATGGAACTCCTTATACACAAGACAGTTTTGATGAGGGTGAAAGGGGATCCACTTTCTTAGTTATAGCTAGAACCCAACAGCACACTGAATGATACAGTTGTATCTGCTCACAGTACTCCAAATTTCAAAACGTTGCTGACATTAAAGACAGCAACTGTTCTACTGCAACTCACTGAAGCATCAGCAAAATGTAGGTTCCTTGGGTTAGTTCCAAATCTAGGAAGTTAGAGTAAGCCTAGGCAACATTCCTTGGAGAAACAGGATTTTATCTATTTGTATTACCGGTGCCACTGTAAATCAAATTCAAAACATCTGTGCCTTTAATAGGAAGGGGGCATGTATGTGTAAAATGCTGGCAGTTTTTGTTGAATCCATAAAGAATCAGTTCTGGACTTAATATGTTATGTCCCAAGAAGTGTTGCTATTCTTGTTACCACTCTTTTTTCTTCTCATCCATGGAGACTCCGCCAGGGCCCAGTGCAACCACGAGGAGGAGCCCCCCAATTACAGACATGGTCTGGAAGAAATCATATTTGAGGAAGTCATGCATGGGCTTGTAAGCTGGGACGGTCCAGAAGGCATTGAAGTAGATGTTGATGCCAAACAGCCAGATGACTAGAGTCAAGGCAGCCAGCTTAGTCTTGAAGCCAATCGCCACCAAGATAATCAGGGCTGTGCCCACAATGTTCTGCAGAATCTGCAAGGAAAAAACCCACAAGCTTACATACAGGTCTTAAAATAGATATAGAAACACCAGAACAGAGCATAGGTAAGTTCAGCAGAACAAGCCGTCATGGCATAGATTATTTAATAACTTTTCTAAATATTAATTCTAATAAAGAAGGGACTTAAATGATAACCCTTGAGTAGCTCCTGCAGCCCATCTGGCAGTTGCTCCTACATTCTAGCTCCTTAACTCATACTTTTAGCCTCAGATACTTACAGAAAAGAAGTTCATATCAAAATGTAGCAGTGTCATGAACATGAGGACCAGCAGCACACGGCCCCCCAGCTGCATGTACTGCTTAGGAGAGCTTTCCCGCATGGTAGGGACACCAGCAAACATGCTCTTCCCCTCTGAGCGCGACTCCGCCAAAAGCAGCAGCAAGCCTCCCCCAAGGGCAAGGTTCCTACAGAAAGAGAAAAGTGGGGAAAAAAAAGCAGTTTATTACAGTTTGCACTGATCTATAGATTTAAAGCCTTATCTGACAATTTCAACTCAGTAGGAATCTGCATGCTGGTGAGGAGTGACCTATTCCACACCTCACGATGCGTGTCTGCGTTAGACTTCGCAGCTGAAACAGCAGCATTGCACACAACAACGATTTACACAAGCCTGTGTAGACACATACAGCCTGCCAGAGAAGTCCAGCACCCACAGCTCAGGCACAGCTGCTTAGCATCTGTTACAGCATGAATTTAGTTGTTGTGTTCAAGTTATTCTGTACCTCTGGTTTAGCCATATATGCCAAAGTAGGTCAGAGGTTGCTCTGAGAAAACAGAAGAGCAGTACTGCTAAAAGAAGTTGCACATTTACAGGGTTGTAGTAAGCCCAGAGTAGAGTTCCTGTGCTGGCCCCTGCCCTACTCTCAGAGGAGAGGGGTGAAAAGGTAACAGACAGCCATCACTCAGGATTTGACAAGAAAGCTCATGTTTAAGGACCCTGTCTTCTACTTGTAGAATGTGTAAGGGATTTAAAAGTTCCAGCAACGACTCTAATATCTACAAGCTTTAGTTTTCTTGGAAAATGGCTTCAGTCACGCATAAGCACAGTTGCTATTTTAGCCATTTAGGAAATAATAGCAGCTCACTGATCCAGTCTAGACAGTTCGTGAGCTCTCAGCAAGGACGTTAGTAGCAGAAGCACTTGGATCCTCATGGGTTAGGATTAGTCTTTCCTTTCTACAGCACTGAGCCTGCCATCTGTGGTTTAAAAAAAAAATATATCTGTACAGTCTGTGTTAAGTGCTGTCACTTCTTGTTTGATGTGAATGCATCATTTATAAAACTCTAGTTAATAATATGTACAAAGATCATTTCCTCTGTCAGGGAGTGGCAGTGACAGAGACCAGTTTTCATTCTGTTTTGATAAAAACTTTAAGAAGTAGACATACCTCATCAAGAACTTCAAGTCCCATAGAATGCTGTATGCAATAGTCTAGGCAAAGAAGAACACAGGTTAAAATACCATATAAACGACACTGAAGTTCTGAATTTATGTTACAGTCTCAAGCCTGTACTATCCATAGCAGAAGTCAATTAGAAGTATGTTATACTGAAGGAAACAAGGTAGGTTACATCAACATGATCCGATGAGTCAGTGTAAAACAGGGAATAGAAGCCAGAATTTGAGTTGTGCTTTAGCCCGCACAAAAATTCATTGGTTTTGAACAGGAAGGATGCTACTAGCTAGGATCCTCTGTGATGGGGACAGTCCTTTATAAAAGCTGTGTGCTGAAGGCCAAAGCAACTGCAAGTTCCAC